AACCGACTTAAAATAAGCAAAGTTCCAATAGTACGCGACCATGACCAATTTAATTTAGGAACTAAATTGTGAACACAAATTTCACATCGCCTGATGGTTGATGAGGATAACGGAAATATTCTAAATGCTTTACAGTTTGCTTATTCTAGTCATCTAGAACTTTTAAGTCAAAACAAGGCAGACTCGTCTTTTATAATTTTTATTTTGGTTAAAAACGCACATTTTCAGGCTACGGGCGAGTAAGTTGGCCAATCAGATAGCAGAACTAGTAATGGAACGCCGGTAGATCTTTACTAACATCTGTTAACGTTGGTTAGTGCGTATCTTAACCGCTAAAACTTTTACAACACCAGTATGCATATTCTCCAGTGTTCTCTCTACATTTCTTATTGCGCTCCTTCAGTCGGCAACAATTATCATTTATTCTCATGACCTTAATGTTTGATTTAGCACCGACAATGTTGGGAGAAATTAGCTGCTGGTCAATCTGAATGGTGAAGGGTTAAGGGATCTTAAGAACGACCTTCATCCAACGACGACAGCAGCGTCTCACATCCAAAGGTTGATATTCTTCCTTCTATTCTCAGAGATATTGTGTACAGAGAATCATGAAACGTTTAACGTTGTTAGTATCATCTTCTGGCCGATATGTCTCTCCCACCGAAGCTGTTCTTCTTTACCGACAACTTTACCTGCTCAAGAGTTTTCTGGAATATGGTACAGTGGTTGCGAATCAGATCCGAGTTGGATACGCAGAGGAATTTAGGTATGATAGTGCAGTAGAGTATGAACAGTCCGTCCTCTTCGATGTAGTTCGTGGCGCGAGACAAAAAAAAATATTTTTGTACCCTTTTTCCCGCAATTGTTGTAGCAGTTGTAATATTTGATAACTTATAGTAAGCGTTTTGAGTTACTCTAGAAGGTTTATCAATTACAAAGGCTTGCAGACGAGGAAAGGGGAATTAATCAGAGGTTTATGAGAGGGGACATATCCGAGTGGTAGTAATCAAAAACTTATCTCACTGTCTTAAAAAAAGTACATGAAAATTAACTCCGAAAAAATACAAGACAAATCCAAAAACAAAACAAAACAAAACGTATACAGGCTGTTAAATGCTTTGAAGAAGATTTGTTTTGTAACGCCCAAGCATAAATGATAAACATTTAAATTACTGTCGTAGAGTAAATGATTAGGGGCAGAAGAAATGAAAGGGCAAATTAGACAGGTGAACCTTTAAATCTCTAATGAATCATTGGCATCGATATTCTTTGTTGTCTCATAAATGTTGCAGATATTACATCAGAAAGCAAGTGGTAAAGAAGAAACTTTCCACCAAGTTTCTCCTGACAAGTCCCATAACAGAACTACTGGAGAAGGTCACGGATTTAGTGTTAAAACAGCCATCACTAGGTGACGATGGAAACATTTCTCGTTCCCTTTATCAAATCTAGTGTATAAGTATCATATTGAATTCTATTTCCCATTGTTACCAGTTCAAGAGGTCATTTCATTTAAGATAAGTCATTCTTAAAACAATTTTTGTATTTAAAACTGATGAACTATTTGGATTATTTTTGCCGACCGTTTTCCAGAATCCTGCTGGACCATGCTCCTCTATCCCAAACTTCACAGTCAGTCATAACGGGCCGTGAAACAATTGAGGACTCTGTATGTATTATTTTAGTCGTTTTGAATTCTGTCCTCTGTATGTTAAGTCCACAGAATTTTGCGTAGAGTTGAGCTTGAAACAAATGAGATTTGTTCGAGATACCCCAACTGGGAAAAAAAAGGAACAACTCTCACCAATTTTGAACTGACCTACAGTTGCTGTGGCTGTTTCCGTTGATAACTGCTTTTCCATAACGAAAAGGTGTAAGTTTACATTACTTTATTAAACGTAGACAGCCTTAGGGGTTCGACTTCATCTCAGAAAGAGTTCATGCTTCTTACACGGCTATCAACCGTGCCTAGAAAGCTGGTGTTGTGGAGCGCCGCACTGCCTTACGGGAGGTCAAAAGGTTAAAGCCCTAGACCGTACCAACACTCAGGGTCTTAAAATAACTGAGGGGAACGTGCTGCCTTTGCTGTGACATTTGCAAATGGTTAGATGTTCTTGTCTTCTCGGATTAGGACGATAAGTCCTAGGCGTCGTCTCCTACGTCTTTTGCATATTGTTTAGCAGGGGACGTCCCCCGACTCAACAGTGAAAACTGACTTACACAGAAGCTTGTGAATTATCTGGACCAAAGCAACGATCGCGAAAGAACTGTCTTCTATGCAGTGGACTCGGGAAGTTCAAGCACTGATGCTCTTTTGATCAGTGTTGCATCATCCTGATCGGCGCACTAAGTTAGTACTGATCGAGATGATCGGGGCGGTCGTACATCCCAACGATGGAAGTTTTCTTCATCGTCCAAACCGTTACCGATCTTTTGCCTTGGTTTCCAAAAATTTATGTTGATCTCTCGAGCTTCATTTGGGACGATTGGGGTGACACAGACGATCATTTAGGAAGGCCACCGTATTACGACCCGCCTTCATCATCCTAAACGCTTGCCAATTACTGATAACTGTCAAAAGACAAAACGATACAGACTTAAATCGAGAAACAAACACGAGACGCAGAACAAGAAAAACAAAGAAAAAAATAATTTAAAACTGTTTGAAATGGAAATTTTTTTTCTTGCGTGCCGTCGGCTGAAACAATCTCAAGACGTCCTTAAACGTTATGTTATTTGTCACCATAGGGCTGGAAGCGTCGTAGGTCTGTCACTTGATTGGCTGATTTAAAAGAGAGATGATGTTATAATTCTAATTTTTGACCAATAGAGATAGCAATATGTTAAATACCGAGGGGCCCTGATCTTTGAAAACATTAAAACTACATGAGACTTATTTATCTATAGGGTAATTCATATTCCTTTTCTTAGGATGGTTGTTAATATCACACTATTGCATTTATCATCATCGTCATTATTGCAATTATTATCATTCTCGCTTTTTCTATCCTGACACAACAATCTTTACCATGCGCGTTTCTATCTATTTTTACGGGACATATTTAGAAATATTTTATTTCAGAAGTAATTTCTAGTTTGAAACGCCTTTAACGTTTCACGATTGAAGAAACCCTCACAAGCTCTATAATGATAGGACTCCGTATAACTCTCGATATAACTTTTCCAACGTGTTGGTTTGAATATTATTACGTTAAGAATACCACAAATAATAATATGTTAATTGCAGGAGTTAATTTAGTTCTCCAGATGGTTGCAAGCCCACAATGTTCGTGTCCTCTTATTGGCTCGATTCGAATTTAGGTCATCGACATAACACTAATAA